ATAGAATATAGGACTAGAATAGAACAGAATTAGAATAGAATAGAAATAATAGAATAGAATATAGGAATATAATAGAAAATAGGAATAGAATAGAATAGATTGTAGAATAGAATAATAGAATAGAATAGAATAGGAATAAATGAATAGAATAGAATATAGGACTAGAATAGAATAGAATACAGAGTTAGAAGGGACCTTGGAGGTCTTCTAGTCCAACCCCCTGCTCAGGCAGGAAACCTTATACCATTTCAGACAGATGTGGTGATTTCAACTCCCATTGAAACTTCCCCATCTTAAAAGTCACTGCGGTCGAGAAACAACAATTTTGCTGAACAACAGCGGACAAAAATGAAGGTGATGCACGCTCAATTTTGCGTTGTGTAACCCTCTCTTGGCGTTGCTGCAGGTGGCTGAGCCCCACCTGTGTTGTTGTGGCTTTTTTTTTAACGCTTTGTGCTTTTATCTGGAGGGTGGTTCAACGTCTCAGGAAGGAGAACCTGCAACGAACACGAAAATACGGGACCGTTCCTCGGCTGGAGAGCATCCCCCATTCTGCAGGATTAAAAAACAGCCACAAACCACATCGTTGAGAACACAAAGGAAGTGGGGACTTCATTATATCTGCTGACAGGTTCCAAGACACCCCCCCTCCTCCTCCTCCTCCTCCTCCATCTGCTCGGAAGCCCCCCCTGCAAAAAAAAAAAAAAAAGTCAATGCGGGAATTTTACCCTGCTTGGAACTGAGTTGCAATTACGAGACCCAATTCTGAGAAAAACCAACAGTGAAAACGCGACAGAATTGTCGAGTTCGGGTTGCGGTCGTAAACCCGAGGACTGCCTGTATCCTCGTGGGGGCTCCAGCGTTGATCTGCCCGGTGACTGTGGGCAAATTTTGGTTTTGAATTGACGCTTCGAATTGCTCGGCGCACGTTTTTAAGAAAGATCCTTCAGCGAGATGTCCGTTGTTTTTTTTTTTTTTTAGTCGAAAGACAAGTTTGGTTTTAGGTATAATTTCAAGAAATGACTTTTTTGCCCGGCATTTCCCAGCTCCTCCTGTCTCGTTTTCAATAATGCTGGTCTTCTCAGAATGAGATCTCGTAATTGCAACTCGGGTTCCAAGCAGGCTAACATTTCAAGAGAAATGTGCATTAGCGGAGTTTTTGCAGGGGGGGGGCTTCCGAGCAGATGGAGGAGGAGGGGGGGGGGTCTTGGAACCTGTCAGCAGATATATATGACTGTCTCTTTTATTTTTAAAATCCAAAATACTCCCCCTTCCCGGCCTCGGCCCCCCGAATATGTCTAAAGTCTCCGCTTCCTTTGTGTTCTCAGATGTGGTTTGTGGCTGTTGTTTAATCCTGCACAATGGTGATGCTGTGTCTGTCTCCCAGCTAAGAGACGGTCCTGTGTTTTTGTATCTGTTGCAAATTCTCCTTCCCGAAGCGTTGAAAGTTTTGGGTTTTGGTGAATGGAATTGCTGGGGAATGTTAACCAGCTCACTAAAACAGAGTTGTGTGTGTGTGTGTGTTGTGTGTAAGCAGGACAGTATAGTGGGGGAAAGTCTGTGGAGAGCTGGTTCACGGCTTTTCCTGTGGGGCTGAGACCATGAGCTGAAATTCCTGGGGGAGCCGGTTAACGGAGGTTAAAGAGGGATGGAATGGAATTTCCAGTTTTGGGGGCTGGTAGGCACAAGTTGGGGAGGGGGGTGTTGGGGGTTAGGACCTCCAGGTGGGGATGGGGAGATATAGGGTCTTCTGCTTAAGCAGGGGGCTGGACTAGAAGACCTTCAAGGTCCCTTCCCACTGTTATTCTGTATGAAAGTGTCTCCTTGAGCAGGGGGTTAGACTAGAAGACCTCTGAGGTCCCTCCCAATTATGTCATTCTGTATTGAAAATATCTCCTGCTTGAGCAGGGGGATGGACTAGAGGACCGCCAAGGTCCCTTCCAGCTCTATTCTGATTGATTGATAGATTGTAAGGCGGTTGTATTAGTCCATGAGTTGTAGGTTGGTACTTTCCCACGTTTTTATGCATTTGGTTCATTGTTTTAAATATTTATACCAATTTGCCACTGTTTTTTTTTTCCTTTAGCTTGTGAAGAAACCCCGAATCACGCAAGGGAGATGGGAGCCTACCTAAAATTGAAAAATAACAACAAGAAACAACACAACGATGTGCTCCTTCAGTGCCGTCTTAATAGAACCCGTTGAATCAGCAACGTTTCCACCCCCCCAAATGAAACTCAACCCCCTGGATGCTCTCCCAGTAAACCCAGTACAGGCAGTCCTCAACGTACGACCACAAAACTTGAGCCCCAAATTTACGTTGTTAAGCGGGTTTGGCCCCGATGTTACGACCTTCCTTGCCACAAGTTGTTAAGTGAGTCAATGCAGTTGTTAAATTACTAACACGGTTGACTTTGCTTGTCAGACGGTCGCCAAAAGGGATCGCCTCACCCCGGGTGACCCCTGTAACCGTCCTAAAGTGGGAGTCCATTTCCAAGCGTCCGAATTTTGATCCCGTGACCGCTGGGAGGCTGCGACGGCCGTTAAGTGTGGAAAATCGTCCTGAGTCATTTTTTTTTTTCCAGCGCCGTTAACGCCGAGCGGTCACTAAACGAACGGCTGCTAAGTCGAGGACTACCTGTATATGGATGCGAATCCCAAACGTGGGTTTATTTGGGCGACCGAGATAATAACCTCCCTCTTTGCAAAATCCATTTTTCTATTGGAGATTCGGATATTGGGGTTGTTGTTGTTGTTGTTGTTTTACTGAAGCCTTTTTTTTACGGATCGCCTGCCGGATTTCACCCGGGATTAAGGTGAGGAGTTATGGTTGAAATAAGAGGAAGGAGATGGAAACGCGGCCCGGCCCTGTTGAAAGCTTAGATGTAAATCTGGAAAAGTGGGAGGAAAAGCTTCGGGATTCTCCTCCCCCCCCGGGGGGGGGAAAAAGGGACCATCCCGGAGCTGGGCAGGACCGCCAGAGAGAGAGCGAGAGGATGGAGGAGACGGGAGCGTCACTGCTGTCGGCAGCCTTCCTTCTTGTTGCCGGATTTCGGGCAGCCCACCTTGTCTGGCTGTCGTTTGGTGGGGGAGACAAAGACGGGGGCTGCCCCCCCCTGCGGGTAGTTGAAGGGACTGTCCGTCTGGGCCAGGGGAGCTGGGCTGGGGGCTGCGAGGAGGGGAGAAAAGGGAAGGTTATAACGGCACGGGCGTCTCTTCTTCCCCTAAACTCTCTCGTCTCCCCAGCTCTCGAAAATTATTCTTCCAGACGTGGTTTTCCAGGCAGGGAGAGGCCTGATCTTGGTTCACCTATGGAACCCCTCTGTCAGAGGGTCTCCTGCTTGAGCAGGGGGTTGGACTAGAAGACCTCCAAGGTCCCTTCCAGCTCTCTCTCCTTCCCTTCCCTTCCATTCTGCATTGCACTCTACTCTACTCTACTCTACTTCTGTTCTGTTCTATTATTATTCTGTTCTGTTCTATTTTATTCTATTATTCTATTCTATTCTATTCTATTCTATTCTATTCTATTCTATTCTATTCTATTCTATTCTATTCTTATTAGTCTATTCTATTCTATTATTCTATTCTATTCTATTCTATTCTTATTATTCTATTCTATTCTATTCTACTCTATTATTATTCTATTCTATTCTATTATTTTCTATTCTATTTTCTATTCTATTTTCTATTTTCTATTTTCTATTATTCTATTATTCTATTCTATTTTCTATTGTACTCTATTCTATTTTCTATTCTATTATTATTATTCTAGTCTATTCTGTATTCTATTCTATTTTCTATTATTTTATTCTATTTTCTATTCTATTCTACTCTATTCCATTCTCTATTTTATTCTCTATTCTATTATTATTATTATTATTATTATTATTATTATTATTATTATTATTATTATTATTATTATTATTATTATTATTATTATTACTACTACTACTACTATAGTCTAGTCTGTATTCTATTCTATTCTAGTCTAGTCTATTATTATTCTATTCTATTCCTTACTCAGAAACACAATACTCAGGGTGAGAGGTCACCCTATGACAATCAGATGGGGGTTACCGTTTCGTAGAATGTTCTGATAGGTGGAAACCCCACCAAAAAAACCCTAACTCTGGAATATCCTTTTTCATCCGAAGCGCAATCAAGAGTGTGAATCAGAGACTCTGCTGGCGTCGCCAAGCTTCCTGTGTGTGCGTGCAGATCAAAACTGCCACATCCATGTCCCAAAACTACACTTTCACTGTGAACCCGTAAGGACTCCAGACCGCAAGCAATCCCTAGCGACACGTTGCGAATTTATTTGGGGATCTAACTAAGTTCAAGGGGACTTCCTCTTGGATAAAATACGAAAACGATGGTCCTTGTTCGGTTATTACCTTTTGAGCCCGGATCCGTCCCATCGGAAGGCGTTCCCATTTTAGCGGCTTGAAAAGTTGGGTCCAGAACTTCAGCAATATTTCGGCAAAACTGTGGCCTAAGTAAAAAAACAAAACAGAACCAAGACTGTAAAAGACCCTTTTAAAAAAAGATATTCTCTAGTTGTTCACTGACGTTGCATTCCAAGAATTAGATGCAATAGCAGCAGCCTGTCTTAGATTTATAGCCCGCTTCACAGTGCTTTACAGCCCTCTCTAAGTGGTTGACAGAATCAGCATATGGTCCCCCAACAATCTGGGTCCTCATTTTACCGACCTCGGATGGACAGACGGCTGAGTCAAGCCTGGAGCTGGTCAGAATTGAACTCCTGGCTGTGGGCAGTGAATTAGCCTGCAATGCTGTATTCTAACCACTGGGAAGGAAGGAAGGAAGGAAGGAAGGAAGGAAGGAAGGAAGGAAGGAAGGAAGGAAGGAAGGAAGGAAGGAAGGAAGGAAGGAAGGAAGGAAGGAAGGAAGGGGGATGGAGTCAGCCTGCAATCCTGCGTTCTAACCCACTCAGCCCAGCACATAGTTTGACCTTCAACATTAATTTCACAACTGTGCGATTAAAGCAGCCCGTCAGCCGGAGGCGGCACTGACTTCTTCTCGATGGAGGGCGCTGTCACCGTCACATCTGGGCCCTCCTGGGTCTGGATCCTCAGCAGGGGGGGACTCCTGCCACTCTGCCACGAGTCCTTCTGGAAACGAGGCGAGAGAAAGACTCATCAGCTTCCCACTGGCGAGAATGTAGGTTTTTAAGAAGGGACTGGACACTCATTTGTCCGAAATGGCATAGGGCTTCCTGTCTGAGCAGGGGGGCTGGACTAGAGGACCTCCAAGGTCCCTTCCAATTCTGTTATTCTGTATGAAAGTGTCTCCTGATTGAGCAGGGGGGGCTGGACTAGAAGACCTCCAAGATCCCTTCCAATTCTGTTCTTCTGTTCTTCTGTGTGAAAGTGTCTCCTGTCTGAGCAAGGGGCTGGACTAGAAGACCTTAAAGGTCCCTTCCAATTCTGTTCAGTTCTTCTGTGTGAAAGTGTCTCCTGTCTGAGCAGGGGGCTGCACTAGAGGACCTCCAAGGTCCCTTCCAATTCTGTTCTTCTGTGTGAAAGTGTCTCCTGACTGAGCAAGGGGCTGGACTAGAAGACCTCCAAGGTCCCTTCCAATTCTGTTCAGTTCTTCTGTGTGAAAGTGTCTCCTGTCTGAGCAGGGGGCTGGACTAGAAGACCTCCAAGATCCCTTCCAATTCTGTTCTTCTGTGTGAAGGTGTCTCCTGTCTGAGCAAGGGGCTGGACTAGAAGACCTCCAAGGTCCCTGTTCATGATAGCAGAGGTTGATGGAGCAGGTGCCCCACAGCACAAGGCGATGCAGCTTCTTACCTCTGGGCTGCAGTCGCCTTCTCCCTCGTGACGCTTGGGGGGCTGGTCCTGCTGCCTTTCCGGGCGCGGGGAGCCCCAGTGGGTCTGCAGTTCCTTGTCTTGCAGATAACGTGCAATTTCCTAGTCGGAGGGCCCAAAGGAGAAAGAATCTATTGGACATTTCCCTGGGAAAAGCTGCCGGGAGGCAACATTCTTCTTATTATTATTATTCAGTTTTTTATTATTATTTTATTACATTTCTCCACCGCCCATCTCATCTAAATGACTCCAGGTGGTTTGCAACAATGTGACAAACCTCCAAGTGGCCTCAAGGGCTCTCTAAAAGGGTGCAAGTGACCAGGATGAGTTCAGACAGAGGCTTCAACCAACTTGACAGCTACTCACCTCGTCCTGGGCGACTTGAGCTGCCCTGTAGTCATCATCTTGCTCCCGGTTCCTCCTGGCTCTCTACAGAAGGAAGAAAGCGTTGGGCCAAGGGTCCGGAGAGACGTCCCCCTCCCCAGAAAATTAGTCTTGGTACAGCACAAATGAAGGGGTCTACAACTCACCGGAGCCAACTTGCCATGGCCAACTCATCATGGCCAACTCATCATGGCCAACTCATGGCCAACTCATCATGGCCAACTCATGGCCAACTCATCATGGCCAACTCATGGCCAACTCATCATGGCCAACTCACCATGGCCAACTCATCATGGCCAACTCATGGCCAACTCACCATGGCCAACTCACCATGGCCAACTCACCATGGCCAACATCAACTTGCCATGGCCAACTAGCCACAGCCAACTTGCCATGGTCAACTCTGCAAATGACCCATCAAGAAGCAGAACAGGGTCTCCCCAAGACAGTTCTGGGGCCCAGGGCCACCCCTTTCTCTCCTTCCTTTTCCTGCTCCTCTTGGCAGGAGATGGTCCTGATTTTAAGATGATGGTTTCTGAATTTCTAAAGGGTGGGAAGGTGCTCCCTGCCTGCCGTGGCATCGCTGCCTGACGGGGTAGAGGCGGACACTCACGATGCGCGTCTGCTCCTGTTCTTCCTCCTCCTGCAGCTTCTGGGCCAGTTCCACATCTTCCTGGAACTGCTGCTGGATCTGGAGTTCCAGTCTGGCCATCTCCCAATGCAGGGGTTCAGGGGTGCCATCTGAACGCATAAGAATGAAGAAAATTAGAAAAGAATAGAGATGGACGGGACCTCGGAGGTCTTCTAGTCCAGCCCCCTGCTCAAGCAGGAGATCCTAGACCATTTCAGACAAATGACTGGCCAGTCGCTTCTTAAACACCTCCATTGATGGAGGCTGTTCCACCGCTTAATTGTTCCACCTGACTTCCAGATGTGTTACGTCCCACACGCGGCATGATGGACGTGCTGTCCAACACAACTACAACACACTGGCTTTCAGAACGGACAAGGGTCCTCTCTGCACCTAGGCCATCCTTACCTCTCGCCCCACGGGACGGCCTCGGCTTTGGCTGACCACTCTCGTCCTTCTCCCGGTTGTGGAACCGCTTGACTTTCTCCTGGGCGGGAGAGAAAAAACTCTCGTGAGATGGCATCCTCGTGACCGCTGGAGCCCGTCTCTCTTCCTGCTGCTGCTCCTCCCAGGGGAAACCCAATGGAGAATGAGAATTATTAGAATGAGAAAGAGTTAGAATTAGAATTATTGTGGCCAATGTTTATCTGCGAAGGAGCCGCAATGCCACCGATTCTCAGTTGCAAGTGAAAAAAAGGAACAAAACCACGGGACGCTGTAAAGCCTGATCCTAAGAGGAAGGAACATGGCACGGCACAGGGTGTAAGCTATGGGAGATATCTTGGCTGGGGGCAGCAGGGCCAAAAGAAGGCGAGACCCTCACCGCAACAATGGCGGTCATAAGTAGAGGACCATGTGTAGGCAAGCTCAGAGGAACGCGCAAGCTACATCTTCAGGTCTCGCTGCTTCAGGGCCTGCCCGAAGCGTTTCCTGGTCCAGCTGGGACCTCAGGATTCGGGATTCGATTCGGACGCCGGCCGAATATTCAAGGACAATGCCACATTTCTCTGCTCGTGGGGGGGGACATGCTCAGGCTGGGAGGGGTCCCTGGGAGATCAGGATGAATGCCGGCGATTGTTCCTGGTGTATTTTCTCTCTCCGGCGCTCCCGTCGGTGTGCGCCAGAATGGGTCCCGCCTTTGCTCCCCACCCTTGTTCCGACTGACCAAATCTTGGACGAGGAGAAGCAACGTGAAGTCATGTCATTCTCGCATTTCGCTCCTCACTCGTCCGGAACCCGACTCAATAAGCCGGATCGGGGAAGAGAGTGTTTGGATCAGCCCAAAAGGAGCAGCAGGGAGCATAGGAGAGGCTGACTCCTGCAACTAAGAAGGGTTTGCCCCTCTTTGCACCGCTCAGGTGACCCCCAGGACACAGACAAGCCTCCAAGTGGCCTCAACGGCTCTCTAAAAGGGTGCAAATGACCGGCGGTCTGCAAGGAGTATAAATCCTTCCATTTCCCCCACCGTCCGGTCAGAGCTGAAGAAGCTTCTTGGAGGAGGAGCGAAAGGTCTTCAAGGAAAAAAACAATTCGCCTCTTGAACAAGCATCTTTGGGACTAGAACTAAGGAGGGATTTCCTGACAGGGAGAACAATGAGTCAGTGGAACAGCTGGCCACCAGAAGCTGTGGGCGCTCCATCACTGGGGGTTTTCAAGAAGAGATTGTCGGTCTGAAATGGTCTAGGGTTTCCTGCCTGAGCAGGGGGTGGGACTAGATGACCTCCAAGGTCCCATCCAGCTCTATTCTCATTGATTGATTGATTGAAATGGTCTAGGGTCTCCTGCCTGAGCAGGGGGCGGGACTAGACCTCCAAGGTCCCTTCCAGCTGTATTTTGATTGATTGAAATGGTCTAGGGTCTCCTACTTGAGCAGGGGGTTGGACTAGATGACCTCCAAGGTCCCTTCCAGCTCTATTTTCATTGACTGATTGATTGAAATGGTCTAGGGTGTCCTGCCTGAGCAGGGGGCGGGACTAGAAGACCTCCAAGGTCCCTTCCAGCTGTATTTTGATTGATTGAAATGGTCTAGGGTCTCCTACTTGAGCAGGGGGTTGGACTAGATGACCTCCAAGGTCCCTTCCAGCTCTATTTTCATTGACTGATTGATTGAAATGGTCTAGGGTCTCCTGCCTGAGCAGGGGGCGGGACTAGAAGAACTCCAAGGTCCCTTCCAGCTGTATTTTGATTGATTGAAATGGTCTAGGGTCTCCTACTTGAGCAGGGGGTTGGACTAGATGACCTCCAAGGTCCCTTCCAGCTCTATTCTCATTGATTGATTGATTGAAATGGTCTAGGGTCTCCTGCCTGAGCAGGGGGCGGGACTAGAAGAACTCCAAGGTCCTTTCCAGCTGTATTTTGATTGATTGAAATGGTCTAGGGTCTCCTGCCTGAGCAGGGGGTTGGACTAGATGACCTCCAAGGTCCCTCCCAGCTCTATTCTCATTGATTGATTGGTTGATTGATTGATTGAAACGGTCTAGGCTCTCCTGCTTGAAAATCACCAAGTAGGGGTGATAGGATAGCAGTGTTCCAATATCTGGGGGGGGGGCTGTCACATTAAAGGGGGCAAAATTCACTTAAGGGATGTTTCACTGAGCAACAGAAATGCTGGGCTCCGTTGTGTCTCGAGAACTATCTGTAAAGCACCCCAGAAAATCTTATTGCCCCCCTCCCTCCGGAAAAAAAACCAGGGGGGGGTTGTCCATCATTGCAACTTTGGCCCAAGCTTATTACGCAGCATGGCAACCGGGCACAAGCTGGTGAGTGCAGACAAGTTTGAAAGCCAGGGCAATTTCTAGTTGGCATCCGGGACTCTCCTACCTGATCTTTCGCTGCCTTCTTCTTTGGATCATCTTCTCCCGATTTCCTTTGAAGATCTTTCTGGATGGCCCGGGAATTTTCGGGATCTCCCTCTTGGCTGCATGTTGACAGAGGAAGAAGCAGTTAGAAGAGCATTTCTGGCTTTGTTGAATAGTAGAGTTGGAAGGGACCTTGGAGGTCTTCTAGTCCAACCCCCTGATCAAGCAGGAGATGCTAGACCATTTCAATCAATCAATCAATCAGAATAGAGCTGGACAGGGACCTTGGAGGTCTTCTAGTCCAACCCCCTGCTCAAGCAGGAGACCCTAGATCATTTCAGCCCAACGGCTGTCCAATCTCTTCACTTGAGTCTACTCACACACACGTACACAACCACACCATCCTGGAACCAAGAGAACGCCTACCTGTCTTTCAGTTGCCTGCTGTCCTGAAGCTTCTGGGCTTCCACCTCTTGGTCTTGAAGTTTCTTGGCCATGCGGAGGTCATTCTGGACCAGCTGGTTCTTCTGGATATTGGACGCATAATGCAGCTCAACTGAGGGGAAGAGAAGGAAGCCTCAGGAGAAGTCCTGAAGAAAAATCAGCCCTTTCCCCTCGTCTTTGCGGTGGCTTTTCTGGAGACCCAAGTCCTGCTGGTCCTCCTCAGAGAAGGGCAGACGGACTGAAGCCCTTGAGATCAAGGGCTCTCCAGACTCCTGGTTCAAAAGTAGGGGGAGGAACCCGGAGGAAGCGAAGACCTTGACCAAGACCTGCTCCATCCCTGTCTCAGCCAAGAAGCTGAACCTCAGCCAAGCGTCCTCCTTGCCCTAATCTTGCCAGCCATCAATCCCCAGCCAGACAGTTGGGGAGACTCAGAACTTGGACAGCTCTGCATACTGTCACTGAAAGGCCTTTGACGTCACAGAATGATTCACGAGCGTGATCCACGGACGACGGTGGGTGCCGTCGTCGTTCTCCGGGCGACGAGGACAGTTCTCGTCACCGGCTGCCAACCTTGAGGGTTCAAAATGCCACCTCATCTGAGCCTTGTAAACCTGTCGGCACGCCGGATTCCCTGAAGCCGTCGACTCCATCTCGGTAATGGAAAACGGGGACGGTGCCAGAGACCAACACCTCCCCCCCAACACACACACACACACACACTGCTTCCAGAAAACCATTTATCTGTTGCTCATTTATGCAGCCCAGACGGGCGCAAAAGACATGGAGGCAGGGGACGCTAAACACTGGAAGGACACGCACAATTGTCACTGCGGGACAATTGAACAATGCAATTTAATTGTTTGAAATACAGGCAGTCCTCGACTTATCGCGGTTCAATTAGTGACTGTTGGGAGTTTACCAAGGCACTGGAAAAAAAAAAAAAGAGACCACTGCAGTATCCTCACGGTCATGGGATCAAAATTCAGATTTGGCTCGTATTTAACGACGCTTTTTGCGACATTTTGACCAGCCAAGTCAACAGGGAAGCCACTTCGCAACTGTGTTGCTGACTTAACCACCGCCGGGATTCACTTAAGAACCTCACAAAATGGGGCAAACTTCCCTTAACAACCATCTCGCTTAGTGACAAATATTTTGGGCTCAGCTGCGGTCGTAACTCGAGAACTACCTGTAGTTAAAAAATCATTTTTATTTTTGTCCTTCCTTTCTATTCCACTGTTTCTTTGATAGTAGCATAAATTCTTGCCCCACGTCGAGTTGGCTGCGGCAAGTTGTCGCAGGCCCCACTCACAACTTCAGAAGCTTTACACACACACACACACACACAAATTCCCGTCCTTACTCTCTTGTTCTTGCAGACAGTAGGCCAACGCGCTGTCTTCCAGGACGGCGAAATCTCGGCACACTGCAGGAAAAAAGAAACACAGAAAAACTGCAAAGGGGGTTCCATTGTTTGTTGACTTTTTCAGGCGGTGTGTAGCACAGCCCGGCTTTAAAGGAAAGGGCGTTGCGTGTTTTTTTTTTCTCTCCATTTGAATGGAAAGGAAAAACAGATTTAAAGTTATAAAAACAAGCGTCATCCATCTCCTTGACCCTTTCAGGAAGAATCTGTGAGCTGCAGGATCTCCTCCACCAGTCTCACCCATCCACAAATTCCTTATTCCCAAGAAGATGCGCGAAGGAGAAGCATCAAAGCTCTGAAATCACGTGATTCTGATTCTATCCCTCTGTTTACACAACCCGGGATGGTGTTAGATTTTCCTGCCGCTGCCGCACACGGCTGGCTCACGTGTAAGGGACCGTCCATTGGGGATCCTAGATCCCTCTCACGGTGACTGTTCTTCAGCCAGGTTTCCCCTAATCTGGACTTGTGCCTTTGGGTTTGTTTTTTTTCCCCACCTAGGTGTCAAAGCCTTGCTTTTACAAATGGGTAGTTGTAAGTCGTGGGATTATGCGTAGTTAAAAAAAATAAATAAATTGGGAGGAAGACTTTGGAACCTTCAATTCCTTTCATATCCTACCTTCCTGGACTGGAGGCAGGCAGGAACTGTCAATGTGAATTTCGGTCATTGCAGTTATTTTCCTAGGGTCACAATTCTCCAAAGAGAATCTGGAAGAAGAGAGATCAAATGGCTAAGACACTGGCATGATGTTCAAGAGCCTTTAAAACGGCACCCTTTTTTTTTCCTTTCTCCCCCCCCACCCATGTATTTCACATTTTCTTTTTTTCCCCCTCTGTTTTTTCCTCCCCCAATTTTTTTTATTTCTATTCTTCTTTGCCTTTTATATATGAAATAGATAAAAAACTGGAAGAGCCTTTAAAACTATGCCTTTTCTTTCTTTTTTCCCACCTTGTATTTCACATTTTCTTTTTTTCCCCTCTCTTTTTTCCTCCCCCTATTTTTTTTTATTTCTATTCTTCTTTGCCTTTTATATATGAAATAGATAAAAAAAACTGGAAGAGCTTTAAAACTGCGCCTTTTCTTTCTTTTTTCCCACCTTGTATTTCACATTTTCCTTTTTCTTTTCCCTCCCAATTTTTTTTATTTTTATTCTTCTTTCTCTTTTATATATGAAATAAATAAATAAAAGCTGGACGAGCGGGGCGGGGGGTGGTCTTTTACTGCCTTATTCCTCCCGGCCACGCACAGAAGGATTCAAGGCCCGGAGACTAAAACATAGGAAGAACATACGAAGCCTCAAACATGCAGGATTTGGGTAGGGCTAGTCTAGTCGAAAAGAAGGACCAGGGGGGGGACAGGATAGCAGCCTTCCAGCATTTGAGGGGCTGCCCCAAAGAAGAGGAAGGGGGTCTACCTCTTGTCCAGAGCTCCAGAAGGCAGGACAAGAAGCAGTTCTGATGGGTTGATGGACTGAATTTGGGGAAATCCAACTTGTCCACCCTCACCTGGCCCAAATGTCCTTTGGGTGGCTTTTATCAGAGACTAGGAAAGGATCAGAGGAACTGACTTGGGGGGTGGGGTGTCAGCCCCACACAGATCAAGCGATGCGAAGGGACTGCCGCCTTCGTGACCCCCTCCCCATCTTCTCTCTTCCTCCTCCTCCTCCTCCTCTTTCTCCAGGCTTTGAAGATTTCCTTGGGCTTCACCGCATCTCCTATTCCCTGCCTTGCAGCTTTTCCTCCCGGGAAAGAGGGGGGGTGGGGGTTGTGAAGAGCCAAGATGGGTGGGGATGGGGGCGACACCCTGCCCACTGAGACCAGGGGAAGGGAGACCCTATTCATCCCGACAGGGGAGGGGAGGATGGGGGGGCAGCGAGAAAGACCCCCCACCCCCACCGAGAAGAAGGGAGGAAAACTGCCAGTGTCACCGCTGGTCTGTTGTTGTTTTTTTGAGGGGAGGGGGGTTTATCAGTATCCCTCTACCCAAATAGGTCGGGACTTTTGCGGAGGGGGGGTGCTGCTTGAGAAGAAGAGGCGTTGCCAGGGGCCTGGGGAGGGGGACATGAGGGTCTCAAGGGGCTGTGCTGTTTTTTTTTTCTTCTCCCCGAGACGAAAGGGGTCTTTGGGGAAAAGAAGGGCATCCCCGGACCCCCCCCCCTCTATGCGTCCCAGCGCAGGGGGGAGGGCGGGGACCCCCGCAGCCTTACCTGCCAAGGCGGCTCCCGGGCGCAGGGTCGCCCTCTCCCGGCTCCCCAGGGGCCAGCAGCAGCTCCGGAGATGGGGGTCTTGCGCCCCCTCCCCAAGCCCGGCCGCGCAAAGCCTCCAAGCCGGGCCGAGCCCTGCAAAAAAAAAGAAACCGGGCCGGAGATGCTGCGGCGGCGAGGAGGAGGAGGCAGCGGGCCAGGTGGAGAGTCCGGGGACGCGGACCGGGAAAAGGGGGGGGGTCGCAGGGGAGGGAGGGAGGGGGAGGGAGGGAGCAGCCCCGCCAGACTCCTCCTCCTCCTCCTCCTCCTGCTGCGCCGCAGGGCTCCTCCCTCTTGCGCGCCCTCTTGCGCGCCGCCAGGCGGGCGGCCAGGTGCGCGCAGGCACCTTTGCGCCCTGGCGAGGCCGGGAAGGGCTCCAGAGGGTCCCCCCGCTGGGCAGGAGGGGGCTGGCGGGGGGGTGGGTGGTCGGGCGAGGCAGCTGCACCGCCCCGGCCCCTGCGCAATTGCGCGCCCGCTGCGCGGGAAGCCCCGAGGTCATTTGCGCCTTCCCGGCCAAAAGCGCCTTGGGCACCGGCTCCGGAGCCCACCTGCAGGAGGGCGCGCGGGGCTGGCTGCGCGCCGGCGGGGCGCGGAAGCCAAGCGCAAGTTATACAGGTAGTCCTCGATTTGGAATTAGAGCTGGAAGGGACCTTGGAGGCCATCTAGTCCAACCCCCTGCTCAGGCAGGAGACCTTGGATCGTTCCAATCAGTCGGTCAATCGATCCATCCATGAGAAGAGAGCTGGAAGGGACCTTGGAGGTCCTCTAGTCCAACCCCCTGCTCAGGCAGGAGACCTTGGATCGTTCCAATCAGTCGGTCAATCGATCCATCCATGAGAAGAGAGCTGGAAGGGACCTTGGAGGTCCTCTAGTCCAACCCCCTGCTCAGGCAGGAGACCTTGGATCGTTCCAATCAGTCAGTCAATCGATCCATCCATGCGAAGAGAGCTGGAAGGGACCTTGGAGGTCCTCTAGTCCAACCCCCTGCTCAGGCAGGAGACCTTGGATCCTTTCAATCAATCAGTCAATCAATGGAAGGGACCTTGGAGGTCTTCTAGTCCAACCCCCGGCTCAAGCAGGAGACCCTATGCCATTTCAATCAATCAATCAATCTATCTATCAATCAATCAATGAGAACCTAGCTAGAAGGGACCTTGGAGGTCTTCTAGTCTGACCCCGCTTGAGCAGGAGACCCTACTAGATCGTTTCAACCAACCAACCAATCAGAATAGAGCATCACCGCAGGGCCATTAGTTGGAAGATTTACTGGGAGCAATAAAGGGGTCTCTAGCGGGCCCTGCCGTGCCTCGACCACCTGGGTCATAACCAGGACCAACTGTACAGAGAAATCCACACCTGCGTTCCGTTCCCTCCCCCCCCCCAAAAAAAAGCCGGATTCCTCCGGCCTCTGCGGTTTGTTGAAGGAGAAAACTTTTGCACTGAACAATGAGGTCATGCAATCTGCTGACCTAATTACTTTGCGCAGGAGAAAATGAAATGTATTGTGTGAGTCACCCCAGGGATAGGAGCAGTGAGTCTTGGGTGGGGGGGGGAGAGGGAGGGCCCTGGAAGAGACCTGTCAAGAGACCATTAGAGAAAGCTTCATGCTTCATCCTCTTGTCGTTCGGTACAGTCATCTGCATTTAAATACATTTGCATAGGCCGAGTTCTGACGTTCAGAAGTTCTAGGAGGTGATCGAGCAAAAACTTCAAAGACAAAGCCATCACTCCTTAGACTTCAAGACCCGGAAAGCTAATTCAATCAATCTGAATAGAACTAGAAGGGACCTTGGAGGTCTTCTAGTCCAACCACCCTGCTCAAGCAGGAGACCCTAGACCATTTCAGACAAGTGGCTGTCCAGTCTCTTCATAAAAACCTCCAGTGTTGGAGCAATTCACCGCTTCTGGTGGCAAGCTGTTCCACTGGTTCATTGTTCTCACTGTTAGGAAGTTTCTCCTTAATCCCAGGTTGCTTCTCTCCTTGATGAGTTTCCATCCATTGTTTCTTGTCCTGCCCTCTGGTGCTTTGGAGAATAAATTGACCCCCTCTTCTTTGGGGCAGCCCCTCAGATACTGAAATATTGCTATCCTGTCCCCCCCCCCCCAGTCCTTCTTTTCTCTAGACTGGCCATACCCAAATCCTGCAGCCGTTCTTCATATCAGTGGCTTCAAGAATCAAATTTAGAGGTTCAATTAAAATAACAAATCAAGGGGTTGCGATTTGTGGGAGCCCAACTGGATTGTCCACGAAACGCTTTTCAGAAATTGGAGCAGGCGAAAAATCAGAATCACTATTTCAGTATGTGGGCTCCCAGAGGAGAAATAGAGAATTTAAGAGCAGAAGTGTTTTTTAAAAAAAAAATTTTAAGTTGGAGAAGCAACAGGTAGCTTTTGAACTCAAAAAAGCTTCACTCTGTTGGGTGGCAGCAGTTCCTGGGATGAACAACTCCAGAGAAAAGTTGACGCCCTTCTCCTCATCCATGATTGGAAATATAAATGCCAGCTGTTGTAACAAAAAGCCATTTCTATTCCTGGACAAAATGTGTGAACTTTTTTGGCAGGTGGAATAAAACCCTGGGGGATACCTCCTTCGTTTTTATATGAAGAAAGCCGAAGGTAATTTTAGAACGCGGCCCAGCATCAATACGTTTTTCGGGGGAACCATGAGTGAGTCTAATTATATCATTTTAAGGACAATTTCTTCTCAGAACTGACAGAGTTAGTATTTTCTGCTTCTATTCCCTACAATAGAACTCAGCAGGAGCAAAATAGCTTTCCCACCCAAAGTCTTGGCATGGCCTTGTAGCTTAAAGGTGCCAACTGATGCTTGGATTCTTAGTTTGAAGAAGAATAGAATAGAATAGAATAGAATAGAATAGAATAGAATAGAATAGAATAGAATAGAATAGAAATAAAGAGTAGAATAAAGAATAGAACAGAACAGAATAGAAATAAATAGAATAGAAATAGAAATAGAATAGAATAAAATAAGAGAAAGTAGAGTAGAGTAGAATACAGAATAGTAGGGTAGGGTAGGGTAGGGTAGAGTAGAGTAGAGTAGAGTAGAGTTGAGTTGAGTAGTAGTGTAGAGTAGAGTAGAGTAGAATAGAAATAATAATAATAATAATTAGAATAGAATAGAATAGAATAGAATAGAATAGAATAGAATAGAATAGAATAGAATAGAAGCCATTGCATCCATTCATTCATCCCTCCATCTGTCATCTAATCTCAAGAGTCTGGAAGGGGCCTTGGAGATCTTCTAGTCCAACCCCCTGCTCAAGCAGGAGACCCTATACCATTTCAGACAAATGGCTAACCAGTCTCTTCTTAAAAAGCTCCAGTGTTGGAGCATTCACCACTTCTGGAGGCAGGTTGTTCCACTGGTTAATTGTTCTATCAGGAAGTTTCTCCTTAGTTCCAGG